CTGCCTTGTAGTGTGCTGCTTATGCAAGGCCCACTAATCTTTCTCTCCTTCTCTGCACTTACTGATGGTAATGGAAAGGAGGTCCCAGAAGTCAACTAAACTCCTGCTCTGATGATGCGTTGTGCAAACAGACCATAGGGAGCCAAGTCGCTTTCACCACTTGACTTTTAAAACCTATCTGTGATCTACAGACACAGCCCAGCTCCTGAGATAATTTTAAGTCTTGGCTTTTACTGGCATCTTATTTGTCTCCAAGAATCTCTTTTCCTTCTTTATCCCTGTCCTCTAACAACAAAAGGCTGGAGTCATGATGTACAAGGTATCATTTCACACTTTCATCACTTCTCATGCTGCTCTCTCCTGTAGCTGGAACATCCTCCACAGAAACATCTTTCTGCTTTCTCCTGTCCTTTCAAATGACACTTGAAATAGCTGCCAGGTATTCTGCACAGACCCAGTCTTGGTGATCCCATTCTCTTCTGCCCCCACCTCAGATCTTCAAGATCCAGATTTACTCTGGCTGGGCCCTCATTTGCCATTGCATGTGAAGCTGAAGAAACTTTGAGTTTTGTATCAGTCGTATCTATATTTCTGGGTCTCTCTTCTAGTAGATGCTGACTCCTTGGACAGGAACAGTAATATTTCTATATCAGAGTTCAACATCCAGAATAGAGTAAGTAAACAAAATATGCAGTAGTTGAAGAGATTAAAATGCAAATGAGTTAAGTGGCTCATGTAGCTCACATGATTGGCTTCATGGTAGGCCTCTGAACTTCCTGTGTCAGAGGAAGTAAGATGAATGCTGTGGAGTGTCCCCCCATCAGGACTGACGGCCACTGCAAGAGTGCAATGAATAAGGAGAAAGCATTTCTCTTGACAGCTAGTTCTAACCACTGCAGTACAAAAAAAAAGTGTAAGAATTCAAGATTTTTTCAGGAATAAAACTTGTGTTAATCCCATTCTTTCAGCAATAACCTTTATGCTCAACATTCTATACTTTATAGTATTTTTCTCTTAAAATTAAGATTATTAATAATCTTGGTATCATCTTTCTGCTGATGATCTTCAAAAAGGAGAAAAATAGTAAATTAGGAAAAATGCAGTTTTTATAGAAGAGCTAGACACAATGGGTCCAGAGAGAAAGTGGAAGCAAAGAACTTTAAGTTTGAAGTGCCAATGACCATTCTAAATTCTGTAGATGGTTTACAGCCAAAACACTAGCTCTAATCCTACAAACATTAAATATATTTTAATTGTTCAAAGTCAATTGGACACCACGGATATTTATTATTAGAAGTCCTATGGATGAAGTTGGATTGCTTACAGGATTTAAATGAGCTTTGGAATCTCATGTACCCCACTACTGGCCTAATGATTTGAGACCCAGGGGAGGTGCCAGAGAATTGCCTGGGTGGGAAGAGCTTCTAAGAAATCAGTGTGAAGGAATAAGTCAGATGCCCCTGTTTAATTTCCCTTGAAAGGTTTAGCTGTACCATTTGCCATATTTGTTTGTTGTATCTAGCTGGAATGACAAACTCCAGAAATACTCTCTTAAATGAGCTCTGTAAGACAATATCCTATACAAAGAGGAAGAGCAGGGGCCATGGCTGGTGACAGTTTATAAAGATACACTGTTGAATTATATCTTTCCTGCAATGAAGGAGTAAATACAATGAGTCCTGAGAGGTATTTAACAGAAAAAGAAAAGGAAATTAAATCAGAGATCAGAGCACTACAGAGGTAGAATGATGGGCCCCTAGAGAAGCCCACATCCCAGTGAGAGCTTGTAAACATTTTGTTACATGTCAAATGATGGAATTAAATTTGTATGTTGAATTAAGATTGCTAATTAGCTGACCTTAATATAAAGACAGTATTCTGTATTGCCCAGGTATACATAGTATACCCAGAAGAATCCATAAATATTTTGGAAAAGGGAGCCAAGGTCAGAACTTCAAAGAAGTTATAACCTGTTCTAGTTCTAATTTTAAGGATGTAGACAGGACCATTAATCAAAAGATGCAGATGGCCTGTAAAACTTGGACCAGAGAGCTGAGGCTGTTTCTCGGGTAGTGGAAGGCTTGCCCAGCATGCAGGAAGCACCCTAGGATCACTTCCTAGCACAGTAGAAACTGGACATGGTGGAGCATCCCGGCACTTGGGAAGTCAAAATATTCATGGACATTCTCAGTTATGTGGTGCAGATGAGGGTAGCCTGGGCTCATAAGACTCCGTCTCACAGGGAAAAAAAGATCAAAAGTTAAAAGAAAAAATCAGAAGCTGGAATGCGAAGGGAGTGGAGTCTCTCATGTTTTTGTAGAGGACAGAGGCTCAAATTTTAAGGAGAACTGGTGTCAATATGGTGACATTCCATAGGTTAGCCTGTTCTTAATTCTTTACCAGATTTCACCTCCCATAAATGTTGGAAAAGATGGATAATGTTATTGTCTACATGCTTTATTTTCAGATGTTCTCAATGTAAAATGAACTTGAAACACAAGCCATACAAAGTTAGAAAATATTTTGACAAATATTCATCTTTAGATAATATCTGCTTCCATGGTATCAGGATTCATAACAAGGCTTCCCTTTGTGGGTTCATATGGATGGGCCCTTTGAATCATTTTTTATAAGATTCAATATTCAAATTAGGGACAGTGTGGTAGTACACATCTGTCATCTCAGCACTCAGGAGGAAGATAATAAGATGAAGGTGGAACTCTGCTCAAAACACAAACAAACAAGAAAGAAAGAAAAATAAAAAGAAAGAAATAACCCCACTTACCTTGGAACTTCATTCCATCATATTGCTTGTATTTGATTGCCACCAGTGGTCAATTTTTCTTTTAAATTTTTCTTTTTTAGTTTTATGTGCATAGGTGTTTTGCCTCACTGTATGTTGATATTAGGTACATACCTGGTGCCCACAGAGGTTAAAAGAAGCCAGTAAGTGCCCTGGAAATGGAGTAGCAGATGGTTATTAGCTGCAACGTGATTGCTGGGAATAGAACCCATGTCCTCTGGGAGAACAAGTAGGGCTCTTAATGTTTGAGTCATCTCTCCTGCCATCAGTGGTAGGCTTTACTGTACCTTTTTATATTTATAGAAGTTATCACTTAAAGGAAATTCAACAATCATAGAAGTGTTTCATCAAACCATTTAACAAGTAACTATGACTCATCTATAAGAATAAAACTGCTAATGTTTAATATGGACACCTGGTTCTAAGGTGCAGTGCAAAATGGAATTATTTAGTACTTGGCAGCAGCAGGAGACAGCACAAGCATCCATAAAGGGCCACCTTCAGGAGTGGCTGGGTCAAATGTTGGCTTCAGTTCTAGTGTTGTGCTCTCGGCAAGATTCTGCCGAGTATAAAATGGGAATAGACTGTGCCAATCCCCCAAGTGTTGTGTGATATTTTGATTATGTTCTGACAAATAAAGCTTGCTTAGAGTCAGAGGGTGGAGCTAGCCATTAGCCACCAAAAGTAACCACAGAGATTTTGGAGGTCTGAGGAGAGATAGGACAGGAAGTAGAAAGGCGGGGCAGAGAGGGATTTGGTCTTTTGGAGGAAGGAAGGGAGCAGGTAAGAGAAGACTGGGGGCTTCTGTGCTTCTCTGCTCCTTCAGGTTCTTATCCCAGTACCTGACTTTTGAATTTTTATTGATGAAGAATAATTAAATTAATGCTGCATCCAAGGTCACTGTGTGACCTTGAGATGAACTGGTTTTCTTTGTGTGGGAACTCAGTGCATGCTGGCCATCACTTGGTCTGATGCTTGTTCTACCCATGTTGTTACCCAAAGCTACAGAATTCAAGACGTTTCAGTGACCACTCACGCTTGTATGCTTTCTATAGCTATTTCAAGATGTGATTTCTCATTAAAAGTGTTCAAGCAATACAGTGTGTGTGTGTGTGTGTGTGTGTGTGTGTGTGTGTGTATGCACAGTACATATGTGGAGGTCAAAGGACCTCCACAGGTTCTCTGTGTGTTCTGGGGATCAATCTTACTTCATCAGGTGTGGTGGAAGGTACCCTTATCTGTTCAATCATTTCACCTGCCCAAATAGAGATAACATTGCCTCGCAGGCAAAAAGGAAAGGAGAATGTTATTTCATTTCTACTCCTTTAAGGAAATGAATAGAACATGGTGTCCTATTCATGCAGATACATGCAAAAGATAGTGAGGATTTGAGTCCTATGTGAGCAGCCATGGGAATGATAATGCCATGTATGTTAGACGAAAACAAGTGTGGCTTACTGAGTTTAGCATTGCATTGGCTGCTGCACTCCATGGTCATTATGAAGAATGTTTCATGTTTATACCAAATTCAGTCCTGAGTGCTGGATTCTGATTATGTCGTCACAGGTCAACAATGGATGTCTTCCTCATTAACTGTCATCCACTTTATTCTTTAGAGGCAGGGTCTCTCACTAAACCTGGAAATCATGGGTTGGCTAGATTGGCTGGCCAATGCACACAGAAGTAGAATTATTAACATTCGTGGCCATGCCTGGGTTTGTATGTGGGTGTTAGGGATCTGAACCCGTGTGTCTTCATGCTTTCCGAGCAAACACCTCACACACGGAGCTACCCCCTTAGCCCTGGAGCATGCAGCCATCAGCTTTAAAGAGTCAGATCATATTGAAAAAAAAAATGAAGCCTAAAGCTAATAAGCCCAACTTTTTCGCGTAGATTTGAAGAATCCTGCATAGTAGCCTTGCCCTGCTGGTTCCCTTCACTTCTCCAAATGAAGTTTTTAGTAGTCTGAGTGTGTCAGCTTTGGGGTATTCAGGGAAATAAAGTTTGGAATATTCGTTTTTCAAATGTAGGCACAAGATTGTGCTTCATATTTTAAGCAGAAACTGCCCAAAATTAAGTACTAAAATTTATAGGCAGTCAGAACAGCCCAGGGTTGGAGTGCTTGCCCAATGTGTCCAAAGCTCCAGGTTTCACCCTTAGCACCACAAAAAAACCAAAATGAAGTTTACAAGAATCATTGCTTTAACACAGAAATCTGTTTATTAAACCAAACAAAAACAGAGAAAATTATACCAGCCCTCATTTTTTAAAATTTTCATTAAATAAGCAAACTCTAAATTCACACCTTTAAAAGGTGTTTGTGCATCTATGTATTTCCAAAATACTCATATTTCAATAAGATTTTCACATTATATTCACCAACAGTATCACAAAATTTCTTTTTTTGTTGTTTTTTGTTTTTTGTTTACGTAACTGTAAGGAACAATAATTCTAGAAACACTAGAAGAAAAAAAGCATAGCAATGTCCACAGTTACAATAAAAAGTGCACATTACCTGGTCACAATCACAGTCAGTACTTGGAAAACTATATGTAACAAGTAGGAAAGGAACACCACTGATGCCTTCAGCTCATTGTCAAAAACCGAATGACATACATTTTACATAAAATAAGGCAAATTCAAGAATGCACAAAGAATCTGTAATTCAACCCAAGCTAAACAACAGAAAGGAAAATAGTACAAGCATGAACTAAAAGCACTTCTTAAATATTTTAAAAATAGGCTTGCTTCAGTGCACAGAAAACACCACTCCGTGTGTGTGTGTGTGTGTGTGTGTGTGTGTGTGTGTCTAACTCTAGAAATGGAGAAAAGAAGGGCATTGTGGGACAGAGGGGGCAGTTCATTGTAAGGTTCAGCTCTATCTGCTGAGAGTTCTCAATTTCAGCAAAAAAAAAATCTAAATGATACAAATCATATCAGGAGATATAACAGCCTTTTCTGGAAACGATTTCCAACAGAAATGGAACGTACACACGAGAGTGCAGAGTTTACGATTGTCACTTGCAACCTCCTAACATTCAGTCATCTACATCCAGTCGCTGCTCTGGAGGGTCGCTTGTGGGGCAGCGGCACAGCCAGGGGCCAGCAGCTTTAGGGCAAGCACGGTGTGCTGCGTTTCAGCACATCTTTTTATAACGTTTAGAAACCTCGGTCATGAAAACTGCTGTGGTAAGCTGCCTTGTGGCGTGGGTGTTTTGAGACTGGCAGAAGTACAGAATTGCAGGCATCTCTTGGAAGTAGTTCCTCATGGGGCGGCTTAAAGAAAGTGGGCAAAGGGTTTGTTTGTTTGTTTGTTTGTTTCCCAGCATTGAGTGTTATTATTATTATTTTGTAGAAAGAATTTGGAAAGAGGAGAAGGCAAAAGGGATGTGGGAAGGATACTTACAGTAGTTTCTCAAAAAACAGTTTTCTTTTAGGACCTATGAAAAAGTTACCAAAGTAAAAATGACCATTTCGAATGAAAAACAAGTATTCTTTTTATAAAAATTACATTTTTCTTTTAAAATACAAGATCCTTTTCATTGTTGTCATATCCTGTAGCAACAAGAAATTTGGCTTTTTTTTTTTTTTCAGATACTTCAGCTTTCAGTCCAGTGAGTCAGTAGAAAGTTCCACTAATATTTCAGTTGGATCTTGAGCTATATTTTATATACCCCAAGCTTCATTTTTATCCTTGAATTAAGAATATGCAGCCTTTTAAAAATTGCTTGTGATATTTATGTTGACACACTAAAACAGAAAGCAACAGGCTGGGCACATTAAGCATCTCAAGTACTTCAAGGTCAGAGTTCCTTTGAAGTTCCTTAACACACCAGTGTATAGATCAAGGACGACATGGCATGATGGAAGTATTTCTCTTAGAAGACTGTGCAGCAAGACCAGGAGTATCTCTGCTGGGAAATCAACTGTCATTAGTGGAAACTGCAAATTCAGAACTCAGTGACTATGGACATCGTTTGCCTCAGTTCTGTTGTAAAATGAGATTTTCCAGTTCATCTGCAGAACGCAATAAAAATGCAGCTGATTCTCGGTACCCTGCGACAAGCTGTCTCACAGCGTTGATTTCTGTTGGACTCAGCTGAGGTCTGGAGTTTGAACTGCTGGAGGATCCTGAGCCAGTTGCCAGCTGCCTCTTCATGCTGAGATCCGTGGGTCCTAGACAAAAAGAATCACAAAATAAGACAGGAATAGTATTTATTCTAACATCTCACATATGAGCACCCATCAAATTATGACTGAATTTATTCATGAATGCTGTCATGAGAAAGTCATGGTCTCTATAATCAAATGCATCTGCTCTCTGGAAGACTAAAGAGTAGTATGATGTGATGTGGGTGTCTGAGGATTTTTTTCAGGTATCTTGGGCAGCATCCAGCCATCACTTCTTGTTATAGAGAAGACTCAAGCCCTTTGAACACGAGTTCTTGGCAAAATTCAATTTTCAGTCTGTCTCCCACATGTTGCAGATGCTTCAGTGTATCAGCATTGCTATGATGAATTGCAAATACTTTTATTTGCTGTATTTATTAACAAAGATGATAACTCCCATAAATTTAGAATTTTAATGATTTCCAGGATAATTTTTAAAGTTATATTTTAATATTTTTACACATTAAAATTTATTCTTTGAGAATTTCATGTTTAGAAGATATATTTTGATCATGTCCACCCATCCACTTCTGCGCTTCCAACTCCATCCACATCTCCTTCAAAGTCTCCCTCCCAAATTTATTTCCTTTTTTTAAAAGTCCACTGAGTCCAGTTAATGCTGCTGGTATGAGCATGAGTATAAGACCATCCACTGAAGCATGGACTACCCACACAGTCCATGTATCTCAAGTTACCAGGACCTTCTCAGCCAAGAGTAGGGCTGTATGAGCCCTTTCCCTATCCATGCTGACATTTTGACTGGCTTGCAATTGGTCAGGTCTTGTGAAAATAATTTGTCCATTTGGCACAATCAAGAATTATCTGGGAAGAGAGTCTCAATGAGAGATTGTCTAGATCAGGTTGGCCTATGGGTAGGTATATATGTGGAGCTTGATTGCTTTAATTGAGTTTTCACTTAATTTGATTTAGACCTACCCAGAATGTGAGTGGCAGCACTCTGTGGGCTGAGCTCTAGAAGGCATGAGTGGAGAAAGAAGTGAGTGTAGGAACTCATATAGTGACTACTTCATCTCTCTGCCTCTTGACTGTGGATGTGACTAGATGCTTCAAATTCCTGCTACCTTGATCTCCCAGCCATGATGACTGGTAATTCAATACTGTGATTTCAAATAAACCCCTTCTCCTCTAAGTGACTCTGCTAGCATTTTACCACAGCAATGTGTGAAGAAACCATACAACCTCTTAAGCAGTGTAGACATGAGAGCTGAGGGACTTCTGTTTGGTGTGTAGAGGAGACAAAGTTCAAGCTGCATATTAAGGACTTCATTTAACACTTTCTTTCTTTCTTTTTAAAGGAGTTGTTTTAGATCTTTCTTTCTTACATGAAGATAATGTTGTCTACTAGGTGGATTAGTTTTATAACAGGTTAGACTGAAATTTTCTTTGAACTAGAGCAAGGAAGTACTTCTTGCAACAGCCCTACAGAGGAACTAGATGTTCTACGTTATTAAGCTGCATCTATATTTGCATAAAATACAGTCAGATGTCCCTAGTATTCCATTATACATTTAAACCAACTCTGGTGGTTCTGATTTTGGACAACATTTAGTAATTTATACTTAAAAAATTGTATACAAATTTATTTAAGATCTTGAGTTCAGACATTAACATTGAGAAGACACTTCACATCAAAATCTCATAGTTATATATTTGCTTTTATAATTCAGCAAGCATTTATTAAAATTCATACAACTTGGAGAGAATATCTAAATTTAATAGTAATTGAATAAAATATCACTAAGCCTATCACAACAGTCAAGATGCCAAACTGCAGTGATTCTGCAACATGAAAGTGTTTTTAACAGACTAAATATGTGTAAGTATTCAGAAAATGGCATTTCTTTTTGTGAGCTAAAGCAAGGAATATAATTTTCCTGCAAGTTCTTTTTGAGTCATGCGGGATACAGGTCAAGACCCAGCCCCTCTTCCATCGATCCCTGAAGGAGGTAGAGGTCTCCTGAGAGGGAAACATCTTGGCTTGAAATTTAATTAGAGCAGACATAAGAGCTGCACAAAGAACTCTGACCTCTAAGAGACACACACTTCTGCTTCTGTCATGGCCTTTCCAAGCTTTGATTTTTCAGGCAGGGTTTATCTTCCATTTAGTCTGCTATTTACAAAATCATGTTATCGACATGACAAGCCTGGCTTGTCACATTTGTGGAAAGGAGTCACTGAACCTGTGCTCAAACAAACAGTCAACAGTCTCTGCTCTGTCTGCGAAGTTCTGTGTTTTATTTTCCTTTTATTGATAGGCTTGTTTTTCATATAATATATCTTGATTATGGTTTCCCCTCCTTCTACTCCCCTCCAAGTACCTCTTCACCTCCCCTCCCATTCTAATCATCATAGTGGCAGGTGTTATGGGCTGCAGGTGGACACTCTTCTAATCTGATTTTACTTTAAGGTCAATATGCATACCAACAAAGTGAAAGAATGAAAGAAATTGGAAGAATCCTCCTCCCAGTGTTGTATATGCCTCAAGTCTGTGCCCAATTACATCCTTTAAAATATAGACTGCTTTGGCTGGTTTTGCTTGTAGCTGGATTGCTGAATCCTGAACTTGAATTGAGACAAGGTTGAACACAGGGTCTAGTTGTTTTTGGGGTGAAGGAACCTCACTCAATTAGTACAGTTTAAGACTTCCTCAGAGTGTACCTCTGGCTTGAAGTTCCTTTTTTATAGATTTTTGATTGTTACAGTTTGTTTTTTTTATGAGATGGAGTCTCATGTAGCCCAGGTAGCTTTGAACTTACTATATAGCAAAGGATGACCTTTAGCTTCTGATCCTCCTGCCTCCACCTCCCAAGTGCTGTGATTACAAGCATGAACCACCAGGTCCCATTTGCCTTAAAATTCTAAACATCCCAACTTAGTGAAGATTTACACAGTTTTCCTCAATACTTATTAATCTATACAAATTTGATAAAACTTCATAATCTTTATACCTTCATTAGCCATCCTACTTTCCAAACCATAAGAAACCTTTTTTTGCTAAGTGTTTGTTATTCAGATCTTTAATGTTATGAGGTGAGTAAGAATAAAAAAGTATGTAATAGACATTTCTTCAATGAGCACTCACATAGCCCTCCTCTAGTTCACTACCACTCTTCTATTTCATCTCAAAGATGCAATGCTAGACTGGACTGATTGAGCTTAACTCAAAACACAACTGTCACATAATGAGAATGCATGTCCACTCTAAGAGCTGAAATTTGATGAAGATTGTGGAACTTAAGTCTAGGAAGTTACTTTGAAGACAAAACCATTGAAAGCATGGTTATTATGGTTATTAGATGAGCCAGGCCAGCAAATTGGAAGGACAATGACCAAACCAAAAAGATGCCAAAAGAGGAAAAAGTCTCAGTAATAAAGCTAAGGCAAATACAAAACTCCAAAAAGTCATGTTTATTTAAGTATTCTGTGTTGGTCAAAGTGATATGGACTTGTTTTTTATGATAATTCTAAAAAGTTGAATCAAAAGTTAAAGGTATGTCATGTTAATCTGTGCCAAAATTAGAGCCATGATTCATTCTTTAAGGTGTGAGGTGTATTTAAGTGGTAAATAAATGGCCATTTATGATTCCTAATATTTAAGTGAATGTATATATTCATAGTTATTCATTTTCTTTTCTAAAATTAATCTATCAGTTGACTGTTTGCTCCCAGTTTATGGTACATTTTTGTTTCTTGTTTAAAGCTGCTTCATTTTAGAATAATGTTTTAGTTTTAATTTACTTGAGACAATGTTGCCATACTAGAACACTTTTAAAAAATTTTTAGCAATGAGAACTATATTTTTGAAGACCATGGTAACTCTTTTTAATTGTTAAAATTTATAGTGAGATGGGTAGAGAGATTGCTCTTGCAGAGGACCTAGATTCAATTCCCAGCATCCACACAGTGGCTCCAACCATTTGTAGCTCCAGTTACAGGGGATCCAATGCCTTCTTCTGGTCTCCAGAGGTATCAGGCCTACATGTGGTGCACATACATGCATGTAGACAAAACATCTATACATATAAAATAAATCTAATATATATGTATTAGACAGACATGGCTGAGAAATGGCTCAGTCAGTAAAATGCCTGCCACATGAGCATTTGGACATGAGTTCAGATCCCTAACACACACCACAAAAAGCGAAGAGTGGGAACAGCTGAAATCCCAGTGTTGAGGAGGTGGTGACAGGTAGAGTCCCTGGGGCTTGCTGGTCAACCAGCCTTGCCTATTTAGTGAGGTCCAGGCCAGTGAGACTCTGTCTTAATGGAAAAGTGGACACATTTGAGAAGCAGCACCTGTGCTGGCTGGTTTTATGTCAACATGAAGGGAGGAGGGGGGCCCTCAATTGGGAAAACTTCTAGATAAGACCCAATTTTAATGCATTTTTTTGATTGGTGATCAATGGAGGAGGGCCCAGCACATTGTAGGTAGTACCATCCTTGGGATAGTGGTCCTTTGTTTTGTAAGAATGCAGGCTGAGCAAGTGATGAGCAAACCAGTAAGCAACACTCCTCCATGACCTCTGCCTTTGCTCTTGGCCCCAGGTTCCTGCCCCACTTGAGTTCTTGTCCTGACTTATTTAATGATGAACTGTGATGTGGAAGCTAAAGCTGAATAAACCCTTTCCTCCCCAACTTGCTTTGGTCATGGTGTTTCATCACAGCAATAGAAAACCTTTACTAAGACAACACCTGAGCTTGTCTCCTGGCATCCACATGCACAAATCCCACTTTCACACACCCATATATGCATACCTCTACCAATACTACACAGATTCTATTTCTGGTGTAATTTCATAGAATTAAGATGGTTTAATTGGTGAGAATTAAGTTTAAGGATGACAGTGTTTCAATGACATTTGGAAGAGTAGGATGTTTCCCACCATGCTCTTACTATTATCTTAATGAATGGGTTTATGTCATCTGTTTCAATACACTTTAAAAATCTGTCTAAATAGCTCTCTGTGTTTCTCATATCTTAAC